AGAGAAGTATTGAAGAGGCCCACAGCCCCCGCAACCCCCGCGAGGGCCACAGCGCCAAACCCTCCTAATTTCTTCAGAGCCTGGGGGTCCATTTTAGGGTTTAGGGTTTAGGGTTTAGGGTTTAGGGTTTAGGGTTTGGGACTTGGGAGGGCCTGGGGTTCCGCGGGCCCTGCTGGACGGGGCGGGAGGAGAGCTGCGAGGGTTTGGGGTTTCGAGGGTTTAGGGTTTGCGGAGAAAGAGAAAAGCCAGCAAGGGTTTAGGGCCTAGGGTTTAGGGTTTAGGGTTTAGGGTTTGGCGAGGGTTTAGCCTTCAGCGCCTGCCGAGCGAGGGTTTGCGGCTTCCCCTAAAAAGGAGTTCAGAAAAGGCGAAAAAGCCGGAAACAAAGATAAATAAATATTGCTGCTGCTGCTGCTGCTGCTGCTGCTGCTGCAACGCCGCTGCTGCTGCTGCTGCTGCTGCTGCTGCGGCCCCACGGCCTGCTGGCGCTGGGGAGGAAATAAAAGTGGAAAAGGAGTTTAAATGCCTTTTTGGTTTTGGGGTTTGGAGAAAGAAGAAAGAGAGCAGAAACGCACCGACGACGCATGCATGCAGCTGTGGGGCGCGGGGCTGGAAGTTGAATTAAAATGAAATATAATATTTAATTAAATTAAATTCTTTTATTTATTTGCTTTTATTCTTTTTAAATCGCTTGGGGGCTCTCTGGCCTTTTGTGCCGCTTTCTTGGAAGACCGCAGACACCCGGGAGCGCTCGCCAGGTGTACAGGGAGGTGCTTTCTTCGATTTTCGTTTAATTTGATATTTTTGAATTATTTATTTATTTAATTCTTTTATTTTTGTTATTTTGTTTATTAATTCACCATTTATTCACCTATGTGCTCGTTTATTTGGGCTTGAGCCGTCGCTGGCAAGGAAGAGCTCGGTGAGCTCCCTGTCGGGCTTTCGCTTCGTTTTTGAGCAATTTCTCTTTTATTTTCGGCAGCTCAAAGCCCCATTGATTCAAAAAAGAAAATAAAAACAAATAATTAATTATTTGATGGTTTATTTGCCTTTATTCTAGACGACTGGGGTCTCCCCGAGAGGGTCGGCCTCGGGTGTACAGACACCTCTCGCTGCACAGACAGCTCTCGCGGCTCCGGGCCGGCGAGAAAGAAAGAAAGAAAGAAAGAAAGAAAGAAAGAGAAAATCGGGAGAATAGGAATAATAAAAACAAATGAAATGGTTGGGAGGTGCAGCTGGAAAGAGGGGAGCTTTCCAGGTGTCTGTTCAGCTGAGCCGTGCACATACCCAACTCAGGTGTACGTACACCTCAGCTGCTGCTGTTTTCGCTGATTTCTCGAAAGCCTTCTTCCCAAAGTTCTTCCCAGAGTTTCTCGTCTTCTTCCATTGTTTCTGTTGTCTCTTTTTCTCTTATTTCTTCCTTAATTGCCTTTGCTGCTTCTTTCATTTCCCTTTCTTCTTCCCCCAACTCCGCAGCTGCCGCGGGGGGGCCCCCCAAGTCCAACAGGGGGCCCCTCAGGGGCCCCTGCAGACTCTGCGTGATTTGGCTTTTGTGCATTTGCTGCAACTTCGCCAAAAATTTATTTATTTTCGGAATTACGGACTTGAACAAATCGCCTGCAGTTCGAACAACTAAAAGAAATCAAATATTTAAAACAATTTGAAACAAATTTAAAACAAACTTAAAACAAATTTAAAACAAATTTGAAAGAAATTTAAAACAATTTTAAAGCAAATTAAGAACAAATTTCAAACAAATTTAAAAAAAATTTAAAACAAATTTGAAAGAAATTTAAAACAAATTTGAAACAAACTTAAAACAAATTTAAAACAAATTTAAAACAAATTAAAAACAAATCAAACATTTAAAGGACTTAATATCCACTCAACTCCATTGTACATCCTGTGGAATTCAATGCATGCACAAAATCCATTAAAATACAAATATAAAATATAAATACAAATATAAATACAAATATAAATATAAATATAAATATAAATATAAATATAAATATAAATATAAATATACAAAATAAGAGATATTGTATAATATATTGTTTGCATATATGTAAAATATATACAAAATAAACATATGCAGTACTTATAAGATATATAAATGCATGCATATATACTCTACTTTTAACAAATAAAAAATAAACAAAACAAAACAAAAAAACAAAACAAAACAAAATAAAACAAAATAAAAAACAAAAAAGACTTTCGGCATTTTTTGATTTTTTTGAACGCATGGGTGCCTGCAGTGTACGTACACCGCAGGAGGACAACAGTGAGGAACAAACGGCGAAATAAAAAGAAAAGAAATAAAAAAGAAATAAAAAAGAAATAAAAAGAAAAATAAAAAACTTTTGCAAAAAAGAATTAAAACAAAAGTACTTTTTGCGTCATTTTCTTTGTCCTGCACTTCCCAGCAACTTCGAACTTTGCCTTCGCAAAGTCCAAAAGAAAAAGCCGAAGTCGAGGGGGCCCTGAAGAACATTTAATTAATCAATTAACTAATTAATTAATTAATTAATTAATCAATTAATTAATTAATTAATTAATTAATTAATTAATTAATTAATTAATTGATTGATTAATTAATTAATTAATTAATTAATTAATTAATTAATTAATCAATTAATTGATTGAAATTGTTTATAATTAATTAATTAATTAATCAATTAATTGATTGAAATTGTTCAATCAATTAATTAATTAATTAATTAACTAGTTAATTAATTAATTAATTGGACAATTAGAATTGTGTACTTAATTAATTAATTGAACAATATAAATTTATTAATCAATTGCTTAATTAATTAATTGATTAATTAATTGATTGATTAATCAATTAAGATATATTGAATAATGAAATTAATCAAATAATTAAAATAAAGTAATTCGAATCATTAACAGTTAATTAATTAATTAATCAAATTAATTAATTTAATTGATAACTAATTCATTGAAAGGTAAACTAGACTTAATTGATTATTTTTTTAATTTAATTAATTTAATTAATTTAATTAATTTAATTAATTAATTAATTTAATTAAATTAATTAAATTAATTAAAATCAAATGAAGTTAAGAGTCCTTACCTCCAGGTGTACATTGCCTTCAGCAGCCAAGTGATGTGCACCTGAGAATATAAATAAATAAATAAATAAATAAATAAATAAATAAATAAATAAATAAATAATTTAATAAATAAATAAATAAATAACTCGGCAAATAGCTAGCCGGCTAGCTAAATAGCCAGCTAGCAAGATAGCTAGCTAGATGGCTAGCTAGATAGCTAGCTAGATAGCTAGCTAGATAGCCAGCTATATAGCTAGCTAGATAGATAGCTAGCTAGATAGCTAGTCAGCTAGCTAGCTACCTAGCTAGAAATATAACTAGTTAGCTGGGCAGCTAGCTAGCTAGCTAGCTAGCTAGCTGGCTAGCTGGCTAGCTAGCTAGCTGGCCAGCTGGCTAGCTAGCTAGCTGGCTCTTCGGCTAGCTACGGTTCCTGTGACTAGCCAGAACCCAACGGCTTAGTGTTTAGGGTTTAGGGTTTAGGGTTTAGGGTTTAGGGTTTGGCTCACCCTCGGGATGCCAAGCTTGCCCGCCTGGATGTACTTGTCAGTGACTGCAGGAAACTGACAGAGCGCAGTCTAAACCCTAAGCCCTAAACCCTAAACCCTAAACCCCAATTTAGGGTTTAGGCCCCTGATTTCCATCCTGACCGCAGCAGCCCCAAATTCAAGCCTTAAGCCCCACGCCGCAAGCCCTAGGCCGCTGGCGACCTAGGGTTTAGGGTTTAGGGTTTAGGGTTTAGGGTTTAGGGTTTAGGGTTTGCGGACTTTTGGTGCAGATGAGGTGAGTGCACTTGTCGCTGAATTCGTTTTTGACGAAACCCCCGAGGAGTTTAATTTGCTGCCCGAAGTCCGAAGCAGAAAGCAGCGGAATGTGCGGCCCCTGCAGGCCCGTGGAGGCTATCGTGGCTCCTGCAGCAGCAGCAGCAGCAGCAGCAGCAGCAGCAGCAGCAGCAGCGGCAGCGGCAGGAGGGGTGAGCAGCAGCAACAGGCCCAGCAGCAGCAAGCGCGGTTTGCAAAGTGCTGAAGAGCCCGCGCTGCTTTCAGTTGCAAGCAGCAGCAAAAGTCAAAAACCTGCTGCTGCTGCTGCTGCTGCTGCTGCTGCTGCTGCTGCTGCTGCTACCTTTGAGGGTCTCTTGTCGCAGGGCCTGCACAACCCAGGAGACATCTGGCAGCTGCTGCAGCACAGCAGCAGCAACGGGGCCATCAGCAGCAAGTCGTTCGCGCTCCCTGCGGCGTTTCCGGCGCGGCTTCTCCGCAGCAGCAGCAGCAGCAGCAGCAGGGTCCGCAGCAGCAGCAGCAGCAGGGCCCGCAGCAGCAGCAGCAGGGCCCGCAGCAGCAGCAGCAGGACCTGCAGCAGCAGGCGTCTGACGCCGCCGCGGCCGCGCGGCCTCCGCCTTCGCCGCGTGCCCCTCCTCGCCGCTGCTGCTGCCGCTGCTGCTGCTGCTGCTGCTGCTGCTGCTGCTGCTGCGGGGCGGCGCTGCCGCGTGCTGCTGCTGCGCGCGCGCAGCAGCAGCAACTCTGCGGAAAGCCTTGAAGTAGAGTTTGTGAATTGCTTTTAAGATTTGCTGCAGGTAAAGCAGCTGCTGGTCTTCGTCGACTAAAGAGCAGCAGCGGAAGAAGGAGGGGCTGAAGGGCCCCTCGCGCTCCCGCAGAAACTCCGGCAGCACGCAGCAGTACTCTCCCGCTGCTGCTGCTGCTGCTGCTGCTGCTGCTGCTGCTGCG